TAATTCTGGTGTCAATGAAATTGTACTTGATGCAATATAATTGGGATATAAACTATATATTAATAAGTATTCATATATTTTCTCGCGGGTAGAACAATTGGAAGTTTCATGCACAACACAATTTTCAGGTGTGGAGTAGAGACTGACCATTATATAATTTAAATTTTGTTAATTATATCTAGTTATGATGAGATGGGCGATGTTTAATACGGGGATTGTTGTGCAATAGGTGAGGAAAAATATGTATATTTATTAATATATATATCTTCCATGGATCTTGTACATTCATAACTGCTCTGGCGTATCAAATGTAAACAAATGACGTCATATATTAAGAAATGAACAAAGTCCGACAATTTATTTATTAAAGACATTTTTATGTTTAACGTTCTTTGGAAGATTGAAGTTTATAAGCAGTAAATTCGACCTTGCCTACCGAACGCTCCTTTGTGGCCGTTAGGAACGTCAGCGTAAATGACGGTTCCGTATAAGATGCAGGTTCGAATCCTGTCAAAGGACGAATATTTTCTATGAAAATTTCTCGGACATTCAGGCCGGTAAATGTTATTTAATACTGTTTATTATAAACAGAGCATTTACTTAAATACTTGTATCTATGGAAAAGAACGTTAAACATAAAAATGTCTTTAATAAATAAATAAATTGTCGGACTTTGTCCATTTCTTAATATATATATATATATTAATGAAACACAATGGATGTTTTAACACACAAATTTAATTTGTTTAAATACACACACATACACACACACACACATACACGCAGGCTGGTAGAGAAGCAAGGTAGACAGGCAGGTAGAGAAGCAGGTAGACAGATAGGTAAAGGAGCAGGTAGACAGGTAGGTATAGAAGCAGGTAGACAGGCAGCTAGAGAAGCGGGTAGACAGTCAGGTAAAGGAGCAGGTAGAGAATCAGGTAGACAGGCAAGCAGTGGTAGCAATAGAGAACTTTCGAAGAAAATAATAATAGTAGACAAAACGAAACTCTTCATGTATCCGAGATTCAATAACAGATTGCCAGAAAGAAAGAGCGAAGAAATACATGAGACAGAAAACAGATTATTGGAGATCAAGGCTTCGGAAGGAGAGTAAGCTTGAGAAAGAGCAATGGTTGTGCGTAAAAGAAGAGAGTAATATCAATGAAATTATTTCCTGTGTTGTCCAACGCTCTCCTACTTTTCTTTTTTTTATTTCTTGCCCTTTCCATAAATATTGGTAAGGGTCAGTCGTGCTTAACCCTTCGGATGCTGTATTTGGTGAGAGACTCAACCTCTATGGTCGTAGATTCTTGTTCCTTGGCAACATCATCTTGGAGGATTTGAATTTGGCAATCGGTCAGTAAGAAAGTGAGGAAGACCTTCCCCTTGGCTGAAACAGTTACACTCCCCAGATATTGATATTCGTGCCATCGTAAGGGAGAAGATTTTGGATAGATGTTTTCTAGAACCATTCTACAGAGGCCGACGCCACACAATCTTCTTACCCCTTATTATACCAATTCTTCTTTGTACCGTAGTAGGGAAGAATTCTCAATAGTATGAAGGTACCGTAGCAGTACATTACATGAAGAATTCATTGTCATAAATTATGTGACCTTTTACAAGATCACATAATGGTGTTTCCCTGTTGACTGAGTAACCCTAGCGAGAGTCTCTGTTTATGTAGGCGCAGCAGGGTAAAATGTAATTAATTGCTAATTATATTCAAGCCATGAAACTGGTTGACAAGATTTTCGAATTAGGTAGGCGTTGTCTCAACAAACCCCCAGTCTTAGAGTGCAAGCAAAACACGAACAAGCGATAATTAAAAAAAAAAAAGACTGCTTGGCCACAAAGGATCGTTCGGTTGGCAAGGTTGAAGTTTATAAGCAGTAAAGCGGTCAAGGCACGTCAGCGTAAATGACGGTTCCGTATAGGATGCAGGTTCGAATCCTGTCAAAGGACGAATATTTTCTATGAAAATTTCTCGGACATTCAGGCCGGTAAATGTTATTTAATACTGTTTATTATAAACAGAGCATTTACTTAAATACTTGTATCTATAAAAAGAACGTTAAACATAAAAATGTCTTTAATATATATATATATATATATGAATAAAAAATTCAATGGGCTCTTGGCCCAGATTGAGAATATCACCGTGGTCGATTTGTCAGGTGACTTCTCGATGTTATCTGTCTGGCGGGGGCGATTTCAGCGTGCTGCACCTTTGGAAAGTATCTGAAAACCATACCATGGGTTGACCCATGCCTTGTGAGTGAAAATAGGTTGACGGAACCTTTGGGAGCCGTCGATGTTTGTGTTAGCACAAAGTCACAAGTCATCGTGATCGCAGTGTTGAGCGTGCTGGCCTTGTTTAGATTTTTGACCACGCTAGATAACGCGCTCTCTGCCAGAAAAAGCAACTAAGGTACGCTCAGTATGCCTGTGGTATAAACCACAGGTGGGTGTTGAACAAACACAAATGTGACTGATCAGACGTCTGCAACAGGGATTAGCTACCTGCTCTAGTAGTAGTCAGGCATCCAGATAACAATTCTACTAAAAATTTATAAATATCTGTGTGGATTGTACAATAAAAGGCAATCTTTTAAAATTAATCTTGTTTAAACTAAGCGCACTTAATTCCCCAACCAAAAAAAAAAAAAAGAATTTTGGGGACAAGCCAATATTTTATTTTATTTTTTATATAGAATTGGTCCCTTGAATGTTACTTTTGTTCTACAAAATTGTTATTTTTAAGGGATCTTTTTTTTTTGCTTTTTGCCCCTGTTCATTTGTCTAAAGCCAAGACAAAGAAATAAATGTGAAAGACCCTTACGAAAACACTCCCTTGACGCTATCTATTGATTTACATTTTTCATACGCACATTGTCACAGCGTTCACGGTTTCGCATGGTTATCGATTATCGATTGTCTGCCACGTGCAAATAGGTATGTGTGCGGACTGCGCTGTTTCAATATTTCTAATTACTCTTGTGGGATTATTAATTCATTAATAAATAAAGAGACGAGGTTTGCGCGATCTTTTTGTTGTATCAAAACCTGATATTTTATTAACTCGCCCATATATATATATATATATATATATATATATATATATATATATATATATATATATATATATATATATATATATGTATGTATGTATAAACTGGCTTACACAGTAGGTAATTATGGAGGTCACCAAGCACGTCATTCTTTTTTATAGGTTTTAAACATTTATCTCGTCTCTCAAAATGAAATAAAGATCAAGAAAATTCCTTTAAATCATGGCGTCTTTTTTGTCGTATGTTATCGGTTGACATAATACTTATCAAAACTTAGTGCAAATCCTACTCACTCCAATAATTATATCGTACGAGACCTTTATATATCTATTAATATCAAATAAATACGAGTAAATAATATTGAAATAATATACAGTACTGATTGTTTAGAAAAAAATGCAAGGTATTTTAAGCTATTCTGAGAGAACGTACATTAAGCCTTATTGCAACACAAACGAAGACATGTTTTGGTATTCTGGTATCGTCAAGGCGAATGATATGGCCTGCCTATCGATGAATATGCGCTTCGATGCTGTTTGCATTTGGTTGTATTGGCCTTTTCAAGCACCACAGTGCCCGGGGTGTGGGACATCTAGTGGACACCAATATATCGAACTTAAACACTGTTGGTGGCATCTCTCCCTGTTGTCTGTATGTCCACGGTATACAGCCGATCTCAGAAGACTACGGCAGGTATGACGCTACACAGGCATTGTAGACTGTCAACTTTGTGCATTTCTTTGCGCAAATGAGGCCAAACTCGATCTTTTAGACATGTAAAAGCCTCAGTTGCCTTCTTCACACAAGCAGATATTTCATCGTCAAGAGTAATGGGACTGTTTATAGTTCTCTCAAGGAGTGGAAATTAGTTTACCACATTTAGTTTGGGGCCCGCCAAAAATATTGATGAAGTAAAGTGAAGCCAGAGCAGTGGGGAACATGACCACTGCCTTGTCCAGTTAGGCCGGAGGTTTTGCAGGAACAGGAAGGTTTAACAGTCAGAGCCTGCATTTCCTGTTCTGTATGGGTGACCAAGTCACAGTCATTAGCAAGCAGAAGACCTTAGAATGTCTTTCATTTAGCAAAGAAGGGCATACATACATAGAAATCTAGATATGTGCATTCAGGTTAACCACTATTGACATCTCTTGAGCGGTCACAATGTGTTTATATATCTCAATGTATACATATCTGTCAGTTTCTATCTATCTATCTATCTATCTATCTATCTATCTATCTATCTATCTATCTATCTATCTCAGTCTGTTCCTTCCTTCCTTCCTTTCTTATCTATCTATCTATCTATCTATCTATCTATCTATCTATCTATCTATCTATCTCAGTCTGTTCATTCTTTCCTATCTATCTATCTATCTATCTATCTATCTATCTATCTATCTATCTATCTATCTATCTATCTCAGTCTGTTCCTTCCTTCCCATCTATCTATCTATTCATCTATCTATCTATCTATCTATCTATCTATCTATCTCATCTATTCAGTTTGTTCCTTCCTTCCTTCCTTTTCTATCTATCTATCTATCTATCTATCTATCTATCTATCTATCTATCTATCTATCTATCTATCTCAGTCTGTTCATTCTTTCCTATCTATCTATCTATCTATCTATCTATCTATCTATCTATCTCAGTCTGTTCCTTCCTTCCTTCCTTTCTATCTATCTATCTATCTATCTATCTATCTATCTATCTATCTATCTATCTATCTATCTATCTATCTCAGTCTGTTCATTCTTTCCTATCATCTATCTATCTATCTATCTATCTATCTATCTATCTATCTATCTATCTATCTATCTCAGTCTGTTCATTCTTTCCTATCTATCTATCTATCTATCTCAGTCTGTTCATTCTTTCCTATCTATCTATCTATCTATCTATCTATCTATCTATCTATTTATCTATCTATCT